TCGTGCTACTCACCAGCTCACCTTCGTGATCATCTCGAGGCGCTGCTCGCCAATGGTGCAGATAGCGCTTAGGTCATGGCGAGAGCGATTGGATGCTGGTCCAAGCGTGGCGATTCATCCTGTCGACGTACCAGGCGACGGACGACTTGTACATCGGTCAGCTGGAGAAGCACATGACACATCTTTGGATGGGCGAGCAGGAGTCGGCGACGGACTACTGCAACCGTGCTCGACGGATTTTGGCTGATATGCGGATGGCAAGCGTTGAATACTCGACAACATCCCACATCACCCATGTCGTTAAGGGCCTTCCGCGCAGCCACAACCTCATGAAGAGGATGATGATGGTGCCCGGCACGCATGAGTCCCTCGACAAGGACTCCCTTACTAGCTACGTTATCAAAGACGAGGCTCTGTAGGAGGAAGAGCAACCAACAGAGCTCCTTCCACAGGTAAGTTATGTTGCACCGACAAAGCAAAATCGTCAGCAGGGGCAGTGGAGGTGGTCGGTCGATGAAGGACGTTGATGAGAAGAGGTCGAAGCACGAAGGGAGTGCTGGATATGCCACGACCCTGACCATCTCTCCTACGAGTACCTCAACCGCAGCGACAGTGACGAGGACGACAACAACCGAGGCCGCAGTCGGTCGACCTATCATCACCCACGTTAGGGGCTGGTGATCCATCACCAAGGTGAACTCCCTCCCTTGCAAGTACACCCTGAAGTGCCCTACAGCCCATACCGCTGCCAATCCTTCCCCTATGTAAGAGCTGTACTGTGCCTCCACCGAGTTACAACTCCTACTCGCATATGCTACTACCTTCTCCTCTCCCTCCACCTCTTGGCATAGTATCCCTCCCATCTCTTGGCTGCTCCAGTCGGTGTAGAGCGTGAACAGGTGACCAGCGGTGGGCAGCTTGAGCACCGTTGCTGTCTTGATTGCTGTCATTAAGTACTGCAGTGCCCCCTTCTATGCTTCTCCCCACTCCCACGCCTTGTCTTCCCATAGTAGCCCATTCAGTACCGCCGCTCTCTTTCTGAAGTTAGGCACAGACCGCCTACAGTAGCTCAAGAAGCCCAGCACTGCTCTCAGTCCTGACTTGTCCTTGGGCTCCCTTAGCCTATACAAGACCTCCACATTGGCTTGTTGTATCCCTATCTGCCCCCCTTTCACCTCATAACCCAGGTATTGCACTGTGTGTTCCCCCCATCTGCATTTCTTCGGGTGGCAGGTGAGTCCCGCCGCTTCTATTGCTGTGAGGGTCCTCTTCACATCCTGCAGGTGCTGCTGCTCTGTCATGCTGAAGATCACCACATCATCAATGTAACAGGCCGTGCACTCCACGCCCCTCAACACGCTGTCCATGACCCTCTGGAACACGGCTGAGGCGTTCCTCAACCCAAATGGCATGTACAACCATTCATACAGCCCGTCCGGCCCATGAGAGACCGTCTTCTTGACGTCCTCCTCTCTGATCTTGATCTGGTTGAACCCTTGCCGTAGGTCCAGCCCCGTGAAGAATACCTCCTCTGCTAGCTTGTCGAAGACCTCTTCTGCCATTGGCATCGGGTATCTGTCCGCTATGGTGATCTTGTTGAGTGCCCTGTAGTCCCCACACATCCTCTTGCTCAGCACCTCCCCTGTCAGGTCCCGCCTGGCTGCCACCACTGTCGGTGTGGCGTGCTCTGATTTTGATCTCCTAATTAGTCCCGCTTCCAGCAACTCCTTGATCTTCTCCTTACAGATTTCTTCGTCCCCGTGTGGCATCTTCCTCCTGCGGTGAAACACTGGTTCCATGCTGCTCAGCTTCAGCTCCATCTCCTTCACCTTGCACCTCCCCAGTTCCTGCAGGTTGAAGGCGAAGCACTTCCTGTGCCTGGCCAACAGCTCCTGCATGGCCTCCTTCCCTTTTTCGCTCATCGCTTCTCCCACCTCCCATTTTTCCTCCTCCTTCTTTTGGCAGCTCTAAGCTCTCCGGGGCACTGCCTCTATTTCTCCCTTCCTTTCCTCATGCCCCCAGCTTATGACCGTCTCTCGCCACATCCGCTGGATCAGCCACCTCAGCACGTGGCCATCCATTGCATTCCCTAAAGCCCTCCTTCTGTCCACCTCGCTCGCACCTGGTGCTGCCGTTGCATCTTACCCATACCCCATGGCCAGCTCCCGTTCTAGTGCCGTGGTTTCCTCCCATCTCCGTCTCATGTGATCATACACCATGCCTGGCCCGGGCTTCCCCGCTTTCCACTTGTATCCCGCCGCTCCCGCGTACGCCACGAGGGTAGGCAGGGCTCGTCTCTCCTGCCCAACTTAGTTGCAAGGATAGTGCCTGCTGTAGCTCTTGCGGCACACCAGTGCTGGGGTCCGCCTTGGTGCTAAGATGTCCTGCACCTTCCTTTCCCTTGCTTGCTCCACCCCATCCATCTCTTCTTGCAGCTTCACGGCAGGGACCACATTCTGCCAATACATCCTCAATCGGTGTGCGTAAGACCCGGTTCTGGCCGCATCACAGCTCATCCCTTCCCCCAGCTGCCCCTTGATCCTGTCTCTCACTATTCGGATTGGCTCTCTGCTGTCTCCCTCCAGGTCCAGGTTTTCTAGCAAGTATGCCACCCTGCCCTGTCTCTCCTGCAGCCACTCCATAATGCAGAACAGGTCTTCCATCAGCCCAGTCCTGGGATCTTCTCCTCCCCTCCCCCTACCTGCCCAAGACACCCCTTGGCATTCCCACCCCGCCACCAGCAGATCTACCTGCCCCCAGCTTACTACCTCTGCCTCTCTTATCTCCTGCACGTCATGGATGGTTCCTGCCATGGCTTCTCGAACCATTCTCCCACTCAGCAGTTCTGGGAACTCCGCTTGCAGCTTCCATGCATGGTGCTCTGCCATCCTCCTCACTTTTGGCTCCTTCTCCACGTAAGTCCATTTCCTCACTGCGATTCCACTCCTCCCCACAGCTGACAGCCATGCCACTATCCCTCCAAACAGCTCCACCAGGTGGATGGGCTGCTGCCAATCACTCTGCCGCCTTGGCTCGTCCATCCATCCCATCTTGGGTCCCTCTTCTGCCCCTGCTGTCCCTTTCTGCTCCTCTACCTGCTGCCTCCTTTGCAGCAGTCCCCCCACAGCCTGGTATGCTCTCTTGGGCTCCACTTTCACAAATCGTACTGGCAGCTCTCCCAGAGGCTCCTCCTTCCAGTACCGCGTTCTGAACTCAACCTTCTCAGTCCATGTACATATGGTCATCCCCACTACGAACACTAGCTCGGTGCCTACCAATACGTCAAAGTCCTCCGACTCTGTAATCCCTTACTTCATGCGGATTTTGGTCTCATGTTCCCCCCCCCGGCAGCAATGTCACTTCTATGGGTGTTCAGGTGCACGGCATCCACTTTGGTTCCCCTCCCTCTGCAGTCATCACCAGCATCCCTTTTTTCACATGCCTCTCTGATGCCAGAAACCCCAACCGCTCAGCCATCCCCTTTCCCAGCATCACACTCTGTGCTCCCATGTCTATGATTGCAGTCTTCCCCTTCTCCCCCTCCACTTCCATTGCTCCCCTTTCGAGTAGTAGCACTGAGGTCTGGCACGCAAGCCTTTCTTGGGGATGGCGTGCCGGGGCTCGTTCTTGGGCCAGCTCGGCTGGCTTCTCTCCCTTCGCTTGCTCCTTCCTTCCCAACTCCCGCCTGCCATCCTTTCCTCCGCTCCTCAGCCCCATTTCTTCTCTTCCTGTCCAAGCCATGAGCGCACACTGCACATCTTGCTCCACCTCCTCCTCCTCTTCGTCTTTGGCATACATCCCTGCTTCGGCCTCCCCTCTTAGCCTTGTCGCCCTCAGCTGTGCCTACAGCCCGCTGATCTGCCGCTGCAGCTCCTCTGGGTGCCTCTTTGGCCCTCCCTCCCTCTGATAGCATTTCTTTGGCTCGTGCCCTCGTTTCTTGCAGATCTCACACCTGACTGCATCTAGGCATTCTTGCTTCCTGTGCCCTGGCTTCCCGCAACCATCATAGCTTTTGCAGTCCCTGCACAGATGCCCTGGCTGCCCACACCTGTGACAGGTCCTGGTGTCAATTCTTATCTCCCCTTGCCCATCTACTCTCCCTCCCCCCTCTAGTATCATTGCCGCTGCTCACGTTGGCCTCCTGCTTCTCTCTGTCGGCCTGGGCAGGTAGGCCTCATAATTCCTCTGTGCGAGCTCCATTCATTCTGCCAAATCAAACACCTCTTCTAGGCTTGCCTCCATGCCCAGCTCGTACACTCTTATCCTCAGCCCCCCCCCCCCAAGAGCCTCGTCTAGGCCTCCCAGGAAATTGCTGATGAGAAGACTGTTGTCCGTACATTTCACGTCTTCCGCCACGTTAATCAGTCTGTTGTAGTAGGTCAGCAGTGACTCCACACGGCCCCTCCTGAAGTCCTGGAATTCCCTTATGCGCTCCACTATGTGCCCTGGGAATTGCCGTTGCATTCAATCCAGAAATGCCTCCGTGGGGTCTTCTCCGTACCTCCCTTCCCTCCTGAGCAGTTCCTCCATCCTCATGTGGCATAGCGTCTCGGCCTCTCCCTCCAATGTGTTTGGTAAGCTCAAGAAAAAGTCCACCGGGTCCATATTGTGCCTGTTGCAACGGTACCGCACATTCCCCACCTGCATCAGGTAATTCTTTAGGATAGGTCCCGCGCTCTGATCTCCCAAGAACCTGGCGGGCACTTCCACTATCGGGGTACTGGCAGCACCCCCTCGCCCCTCTCCCCATGCTTCAGTTGCTCCTCTTGGCTGACTTCTCCCCGCTCCTCTCTCTCTTGCCCTTTGCATGCCTTCTCTGGCCTCCCGCACCGTACACCAAGCTTCCGCCCTCCGCTCTGCTCTCTTGGCGACTTCCATCTCGCGGCGCCTTTCCCTCAGTCCTCCCTACTCTTCCGCCCGTCTCCACTGCTGCGTTGGCGGGTCGTGCATCCTCCGCCCCTCCAACTTGCTGGTTTCGCGCTGTTGCTGCCTCTTCGGCGATGGTGACCAGGTGCCTTCCCTCCTGTTGTGCTGCTGGCGGCACTATGGCGAGTGCCGCTCCCTTCTGTACTTCTTTCTCTGCTGGCGGCGCCAGACGGGCGAGCGGGACCCGCTGGTGTCCCTCTTCTCTCTGTGTCTTGGCTGTACCGGCGAGCGCCCCACGCTGCTCTGTTCCCCTTGCTGCTGACAACGGCGCTCCTCCGACCAACGCTCCTCTCCGTGCCTTCCTTCTGGGCGCCCGTGTGGCTCAGGTGAGTGCGGCTCCTCCCTCCATCTACCGCCGCGCGCCTGCCTTTGCTTCGGCAAATGCATGCCGCCGTCGCTCCAGCCTCCCTGCTCTTGTCGCCTATCATACTGGCGGAAGTCACCCACGCCCCATTCTTCGTGGTGCTGATCCTTGTCCGGCGTGCGCGACCGCTCCGCCTTCCCTTTGCCAAGCTGCCTTCGCGCAAGTGTGTCTCGAACGCCCTTGTCTGGTGTCACTCGCTCCTGGTGAAGTGAGCCCTCCGCGCGCTGCTCTCCCCCACAGCTGACGTCTCGACCGTGAGATTCCCGCAGCACGGCCCTCGGTTCCTCAGCTGCCGCCTGGCTTGCGCCCGCGTCCTCGTCTGCCTGCGCGGGTTCAGCCTCACCCGTTCCCGCTATTTGATCGTTGCCGACATCCTTCATCGGCCTCTTCGACCTACCGCCCTTGGTTCTCCTCATCCTCTTCCGCGCCTTGCTCCCATGTCACTTCCTGTGCCGCGTTTTCCAGCGAGACCCCCCTTCGGTCATTGCCGCCAATGTCTCCTCCCCGCCCCCGGGGAAGTTCCCCGAAACCACGCCAACGCCCTCTCTTGTCACGGCGCCGTCCTCGATCTTCCGTAGGGCAGAACACGCCTGCGTCGCGACGGTTTCCGCGATCCTCGTCAGTTCGGCGCGCTCTCTCTCGCAGCCACGCGTCTCTGTCTGCGCCTCCAATGTGCGCGGCGTCACCTGGTCCCTTGCCCGTCGATTCTTCTTCTCGACGGTCTCTTTCAAGGGGGATTCGATCCGCGCGGAAGGCCGGCCGGTGTGGCGATCGCTCCAAGGATCATCCTCGTTCACGTGATGGCTCGCGTCGCGGCCGTTCCTCTTCCCGTCGGCTGAACATTCTACCCCATCGCAATTCGTACTTATCCATATCCAACCCTTTGATGCCCCCTTTCTCGTTGTTATAAAAGTGTTTGGTCCCTCACCCCATAGGTTCCCTCTTAGTGATGTGCCTCAGTGTGCTAGAGCAAGGATAGCAACTTTCACAATGAGAAAACAACGAGAAAGCATCGAGGGGTTGGAGGTGAGTGACCTTACCCAACCCCAGGCTGCACATTTCCAAATGTTCGGCTCGGGGTTGGGGTTGATTGGTTTCACATTTCGCCCTTCGGTGTCATTCCCCCTTTTTATCTCAACCGCTCTTATCCCGTTTCCCCCCTTCTGCACCCCTTCCTAACAGCTCTCTTGCTACAATCTACACCTCCAGCCTATTTCTATTCTGTGCTATTATAACCATCTAATCTTCCTATTGCTGCAACCTAGGGCACTGCCTATACCATCACCCTACTGTTATTGCACATGCATTAGGTGCATATGCGGTGACAACTCCGACCGCCTAATCAACCCCGCCTCCAGCAGCTCCTTGATTTTTTCCTTGCAGACTTCCTCATCCTCGTGCAGCATCTTCCTCCTCCAATGGAACACGGGTTCCGCACTGCTCAGCTTCAACTCCATCTCCTTCACCTTGCCCCTTCCCAACTCCTGCAGGTTGAAGGCGAAGCACTGTCGGTGCTTGGTCAGCAACCGTAGCATAGCTTCCTTCCCTTCCTCGCTCATCGCCTCCCCTACCTTCCACGTCTCTTCCTCTTTCTCCTGGCATGCCCACGCTCCCTGAAGGCGTGGCTCCATGCCCCCTTCTCCTTCCTCCTCCCCCCAGCTCACCACTATCTCTATCCACATCCGCTGGACCAGCCATCTCATCACGTTGCCGTCCATGGCATTCCCTAGGGCCCTCTTCCTGTTGGCCGCGCTCACCCCAGGAGCCGCCGTTGCATTCTCCCCATATCCCAAGGCCAGCTCCCGCTCCAGCGCGGTCGGCTCCTCCCACCGCTTCTTCTTGTGATCATATATGAGTCCTGGACCCGGTTCCCCTGCTGCCCACGCATATCCTGCCGCTCCTGCATATGTAGCCAGAGTGGGCAGCGCCCGTCGCGCCTGTCCCACCTGATTGCAGGGATAATGTCTGCTTTACCCCTTCCGATGCACCGGCGCTGGGGTCCGTCTTGGCTCAAGGATGTCCTGTACTTTTCTTCCTGGCGCCCTTCTCACCCCCTCTATCTCTTCCTGCAGCCTCGGTGCTGGAACTATGTTCTGCCAATACATTCTCAATCGGTGAGCAAGTGACCCCATTCTGGCTGCATCACTGCTCACCCCTTCTCCCAATTGATCCTCTCCCGCACCTTGGCTCCGTGCTGTCCCCTTCTAAGTCCAGGTTTTCCACCAGGTATGCCACCCTGCCCTACCTCTTTTGCAGCCATTCCAGGATGCGGAAGAGGTCCTCCATCAGCTGTGTCCTCAGGTCCCCCTTTCCTCTCCCCTTGACCGCCCATGACACCCCTTGGCACTCCCATCCAGCCACCAGCAGATCCACCTGCCCCCAGCTGGCCACCTCCGCCTCTGTCAGTTGAGCCACATCATGACCATCTCTCTTCATGGCTTCACGGATCACCCCCGCACTCACGAGCTCTGGGAACTCTGCCTGCAGCTTCCACGCATGATGCTCAGCCATCTTCCTCACCACTGGCGCCTGTTCCACATACACCCACTTCTGTACTGCGATCCCACTCCTCATCACTACTGCTAATCCCGCCCCAATCCCTCCAAACAATTCCACCAAGTGGATGGGCTGCTGCTAGTCGCCCTGCCACCTTGGCTCATCCATCATCCTCATTCTTGGCACTTCCATGGTCCCGCCCACTCCCTTGCGCTTCCCCGCCTCTGCTATCTCCGCTTCCTGCTCCGCCATGGCCTGATACGCTCTCTTGGGCTCCACCTTCGCGAATCGCGCTGGCAGCTCCCCTAGTGGCCCCTCCTTTGAGTACCACGTTCGGAACGCCACCCTCGCTTTCCACATGCAGATGGTCATGCCCACCGCAAACACCAGCTCTGTGCCCACTAACAGGTCAAAATCCTTGGACTCAAAGATGCCACACTTCATTCTGATCTTGGTTTCATGCTCCCCTCCTGGCAATAGTGTCACCACTATGGGTGTCCTAGAGCAGGGCATCCACTTCGGATCCCCCCCTTCTGCTGTCATCACCAACATCCCCCTTTTCACATGCCTTTCTGGAGCCAAGAGCCCCAGCTTCTCAGCCAGCCCTTTGCCTAGCATCACGCTCTGTGCCCCCGTGTCTATGATGGTAATCTTTACCTTCTCTCCTTCCACTTCCATAGCCCCCTCTTCCAGCAGCAACACTGAGGTCTGACATGCCAGCCTCTCTTGTGGATGGCGTGCTGGCGGCAGAACCAACCCTAGACCCTCTGGTTTCTGCCCCTTCTCCCGGACCTTCCTGCTTTGCTCCTGCCTACCGTCTGGTTTCAGCCCCATCTCCTCTCTTCCCCTCCATGCCATGAGTGCGCACTGCACGTCCTGCTCCACCTTCTCTCCCTCCTCGTCTCTCACATACATCCCTGCCTCTGCCCCCCATCTTGGTCCCGTTGCCCGTAGCTGTGTCTGCAGCCTGCTGATCTGTCGCTGCAACTCTTCCAGGCTCCTCCTGGCTCCTCCTTCCCTCTGATAGCAGTCCTTGGCCCTGTGCCCCTTCTTGTTGCACACCTCGCACCTGGCGGCATCAGGACACTTTCGCTTGCGGTGGCCCGGCTTCCCGCACTCATCACAGTTCTTGTAATCTCTGCGGAGGTGCCCTGGCTGTCCACAGCGGTGGCAACTCCTGGTTTCTGCCCGTGCCTCTCCTCGCTCCTCTACCTTCCCTTGTTCCTCTGGTATAATGGCTGCCGCCCAGGTTGGCCTGCGGGCTCTCTCCAGCTGTCTGGGTAGGTATGCCTCATACTTCCTCTGTGCGAGCTCCACTCTTTCGGCTAGCTTGAATACCTCCTCCAGTCTTGCCTCCGCACCCAGCTCATACACCTTCATCCGCAGCCCGCCTCCCAGTGCCTCGTCCAAGCCCCCCAGGAACTATCTATGCACCTCACATCCTCTGCTACGTTGATCACTTTATTGTAGTACGCCAGTAATGATTCTGCCCTTCCTCGCTTGAATTCCTGAAATTCCCTTAGCCTTTCCGCCGTGTGCCCTGGGATCTGCCGCTGCAACCGCTCGAATAAGGCTTCGGTTGGGTCTTCCCCGTACCTCCCTACCCTCCACAGTAGCTCCTCCATCCTCATATAGTACAGAGTCTTGGCTTCCCCATCTAAGGTATTTGGCAGGCTCAAGAAGAAGTCTATGGGGTCCATGCCATTCCGATCGCATCGATACTTCACATTCCCCACTTGCATCAAGTAGTTCTTGAGCGACGGCCCTGCCTGCTGATCGCCTGAGAACCTGGCCAGCATTTCTACCCTTGTCGCCGTGGCTGCGCCCCCTCTTCCCTCTCCCCACGACTCACTCACCCCTCCCCGCGGTCTCCCATACCCCCCCTTTTTACCGGCTTGTTCCACGCCCTCTCTGGCCATTCGTGCACGCTCAGCCCCTTATGCCAAGCTGCCACCCCTGGCCCTGCTCTCCAGCTGCTCTCCGTGCGTCTCTCTCGAGTGTTCTTACTGATCCTCCTCCCTTCCTGCCCGTTCCCATCGCCGTGCCGGCGACTAGTGACTCTGCTCCCATTCCCTTGGGCCAGCGTCACGCGGCTGACGTCTCGCTGGGGGTGGCGACCACTCCTCCCTTCCCTCGCCCTGCTGCCATATGCCATGCGGCGAGCGGCCTGCTTCTTCCCGCCTTCCCCTCGCCAACGGCGCCGGTCGGGCGACCGCGACTCTCCCCTGGGCCCTTCCCCCCACCGCTGCCGCCTGCGCGATGAGCGTGATCCTCCCTTCCGGCGCCCCTCCCAGTGCCGCTGCGTCTCTAGCAAGGGATGCTCCCCGCAACGGCTTCCTCCATGTGCCTCGGGTCGAGCCACCGAGCGGACCATATTCTTCTCCACCCCTCTCCGCCTTCCTTCCGCGTCCCCGTACCGCTCAGCCCTCGGCGGCGGTTCTCTTGACAAGCGCGAGCTTCTGTTGGATGCACGTCATCCCGAGTGCATGTCATCCTAACGTCCTGCCGAGTGCTTGTTCTATTCATGCGTGCATTTTCTGGTTGAGCATATGTAATTGTGCATGGCTGTTGGATATTGTTATCTCTGTGTTTTTCTCCAAGTTTTAATGCTTGATCATGCAGGAGAAATCCAGAGCTTTCCAACGATACCAAGATCGCCTTATTCCGACCAAGATCGCCCAAGTTACAAGATTTCCAAGACTTGGATTTCTTATTACCTTTTGGGGTTATATATAATTTGGGTGATTACTTGGGACATGACTATAAAGGGATCTTTGGTTGGGTGGTTAGGGAAGGCAACTTTGACTTTTGGATTGGGGTGGCTAGAAGTTTCTAGCGTGGGTTGCAAATGTTGCAACACCTAGGCAAAATCCAACTAGATTGGATTTTGCATGTGACACCTCAAGGACCTCATTATGAGGGTTGCATCCTTGCTGCTAGGAAGGTTCCTACCATCCTTCCCTAGCTCTTGGAGAACCCCTTCTCTCTCATGGTTCTCTTGGAGCCCCCAACTCCAACTTCCCATGCCCTAATGCTTGTACTTCCTCCACCATTCTAGTCATACAGCTGCTGAACGTTTTTACATAGCTCTCACTCTATACACCATCTTAACGACTGATTCAACTTGGAGATGGTAGCCAAGCCTAAGGCGCAACATCCTACTGAGTGGATTTGCGTTTAGTTGAGAATTGAGTTCGTCGTTAGCTCTCAAAGTGACGGATCCTGAACAACAAGTGGTATCAGAGCGGGTAGTCGGCTTTGAGACGACGAATGGTCGTGAGATCTCAACGGATGTTAACAAGCAA